GGCTTAGAGAGAAGAATGATCATGCGAGAAACCTGTTTCAGCGTGTCTTCTAAACTGGGAGTCATAGTGGCACTTACCTCTGGCAACATGATGAGGCTGAATGTCAAGACAAAGAGAACCATGTTGACTCCATACATCCATCTCAAGAAGAGGAAATAGGAGGCCACGGACGATCCAAACTGACCTATTGAGCAGAAAATAGAGAGACTGTAGAGGATGTCAAAATAACCAGCAGAAAAACTCAGTCTTGATGCCTTCCAATAGCATGTGCTCAATGACAAACATTTGTTCCTTTTGTGTTTTTGTCCTCTAGAACGCTTCTTTCTCTATCCAGAGAAGAACTGTGGGCCATGGTGGACGCACCTCCTATGTATGTAAATGTAATCATGTAGAATGTTTGTAACGAACCCTTCAAAGTCTATACAAGGGAGAATTGTCTTTAGCTTACAGCTACTGCTACGTCCTAAAGAGAATATTAGATCCCTTGAGTCAATGCAGGTGGACATGTAAAGTGGTCACTAGATGGCTAGTAGTTAGCTTTGATTATAATCGTAACTGCTATAGGTCTTCCTTCTTTTTCTTGAGTAAGTAATACTCTCTCAACAAAGTTTATCACATTTCTAACAAATGCTTATCAATTGTCCTGTGCTGTTTCCTCTCAATAAAGGAAAATTCATTCCGCGTATTTTACTAAGTGTCTTCTGCTGGTGCTATTTTAGATGCTCACAACTATGACACAGACAGGTTCCAATCACAATACAACTTATATTTTAGTGAAGTGTGGAAAAATAGCAGGAAAAACACACACACAAGTATACATCTTAGTAATAGATTTTACAACAAGGAAGGTCAAATATTGAGCACGTGTTATTTAGATAGGCTTGGTGAGAAACGTATAGTCGTGTACCACGTAATGTCTGCGTGGGCCACATCTAACTTCATAAATGTTTGTAGTCCTATAACTTTATAATAAAGTCCAGAAAGCCTAATTGGAAAACAGGTAGTAGCCAATATAAGTTTCCCACACACAATATGTGCATTTCTTCACTTATTTACAAAGGGATTGCTCTGCGAGTCATATTATCTGACAGCACACATGTAACCTATAATACATATGTCCTGATAGTCATTCTAAACACCAATGTATGTGGTGGGATGTATTTTCTTGTCCAAAAGTTGACAGTATGACAGTGTATGCTTCACTCTTTAGGCGGCACCATCTATTCTCCTGTATGATGCGCCTGTTGGTGGTTGTAGAACTCTCTCTCTTTTGAATTTTCTTTAGAAAAGATGACCTTGAAGTGCCCCATGAATCCCAAATGCAGCAAAACCAGACCTGGTGATAGCAGCAGCAAGAGGAAAAGGAGTATTGATTGGAAGTGAAACAAAGGGTTATTAACTGACATGAAGGTGGTAAATCAGTAAATACGATTGCTCGCAATTTAGGCATGTCGTCCTGGACGATCATGAACAAGTTCTCCAAACCAATAAAGGATCGGCTCCCCTGAAAGCTACCAGCCTAATGGAAAATGCAAAAGGAACCCATATCCGATGTGGAGGTCTTGCTAACGACATAGAGGTGAAAATCTCCCTCAGCTCTCTGATGATCACTGCCAGTCACAGTTTATTCTAGATGCTGAAAGAAAAGGCAGGAGCCAAGTACAATATGGTATTCACAGTGTCCAAATCCCATCAATCCTGCTTCAGAGGACATATTGTGGAGCAAGTCATCAGACAAGGTGACTTATATGAAGAAGGCAGTATCAGGAGTGAAGTAAGGCTTATTAACAACCTGCGATATGCAGATGATATAACCCATGTGTGTTGAAATAGGAGAAGACTGGAAACACTTGTTGATGAAGATCAATGATTGCAACTTTCAGAAGGGTTTACGACACAATGTCAAGAAGGCTAAATTCTTCACAACTGGACCGATAGGTAGCATCAAGATAAATGGAGAAAAGCTTGAAGTGGTCAAGGATTTTGTTTTATGTGAATCCACAATCAATGCTCATGGAAGCAGCAGAGACAATTTGCATTAGGTAATTCTGCAGGACAAGAGGTCTTTATTGTATTGAAAAGCAAGGATGTGACTTTGAGGACTAAGGTGTGCCCGACCCAAGCCATGGCACTTTCAATGGCCTCATGTGCCATGTAAAGAGTGGACATTAAAGATGGAAGACTGAAGAAGAATCGGCTCATTTGAGTTTTGGTGCTGGAGAAGAATAACAAAAGCATTGGACTTCTACAGGGACGAGATCTGTCTTGGTAGAAGTATGGACAGAGTGCTTCCGAGAGGCAAGGATGGTGAGACTGGGTCTTACATACTTTGGATATGTCAGCAAAGAGCATTCCTTGGAGAATGACATCATGCTCAGTCAAGTAACGGGGCAGCAAAAAAGAGGACAACCCTTAGGGTGTGCATTGACACAGGGGTTGTCACTGAGGGCTCAAGCACAGAAACAATTGGGAGGATGGTGCAGGACCACGCAGTGTTTCATTCTGTTGTGCACCGAGTTAATAACACCTAACAACAATAACAACAGCAAGAACACGGTAAAGGTTCGGCAATGCATGATTGTCTATCAGCAAAGATGGCATTTGAGCAGAGCCCCAAATCTGGAGAGGAGGCAGCAAGATCCAGAGAGCATACAAAGAAAAAGAACTAAGAGAAATAAAAGTTCCGAGCGAGGCAAGAACTTAGGGCAACTAAGAAACATAATAATAAGGCCTGGGTGGGTGAGTGCAATGAATCAGGGTCAGTGGGAACAGATGAGGATGAAGAAGGTGCCCACTCACATTGAATAGGGCCTCTTCAGGTTAAAGGAGGATTTTATTCTAAATGTAGTGAGAAGCTACTGACAATTGTTAAGTAATCAAAAGATGGCATTAAGAGAAAATGTTATTTTAGTGTGGGATTGAAATGGGCAAGAATATTCTGACAATTCCATCTGCTCAAAATAGTGTCCAATTCTAATTGATGAAGGGAAAAATTAAAAATGAAGATTTCTCTTATGCAGAGAATGGAAGCAAAAGACAGGGCAGGCCCTAGAAATCTAGGGTTGAGATTCCATTCGTGTATAAAAGTCAAAGATTATTTTGAGTACTATTTAAGGTTTGGGGTCAAGTTGTTAGTTTTTCCAATTTGTATTTTATGTTCCCAATTTGTATGCTACTCAAGAGAGACAGAACAAGATGGTTAGCCCCAGTCTGTGTCTGAATCACTCCTTTTGTTACATCTCATTCTGCTGCATATCTCCAGGGTTCAATAGCTTTCCTGAGTGCTCTGCTTGAAGACATCACCAAGGGAGAAATACTTGACCAGTAGAGAGCCCTTGGGAGGCGAACTGTAGGCCCTGTTTTCTAAGATGAGGCTGACCTCCCATGAGAGTACTACCCCCATGTCTGGAACTTAGTCTACTTTTTAGATGCCATCTTATTTATTGCCATAATACTGTGGCAGGTTTTTCTTTTGATTTGGTTTGGTTTTAGAAAATTAAACGAGGTCAGTCTGAACGTGGATATTTTTCAAGAAATCAATGATTGTGAAGCCTGCGAATTTTATTTTCCTTTTAGACCCAAAGAGAAAGCCGTTTCCATGTCACATCGTCATGGGGTGTCGAGTTCTACGAGATGTCTAACAGCACGTGGTTTTGACAAACAGGCATGCCAGGCGTTGTAACCAGACACACTGGCCAGTGTGCCGAGACGCTAAAGCAGATCCACCCAGCATAGGACATCCGATCA